CTACTGACTGCCTTCATATGGCCCAAGAGGAGAGGGAGAGACCCTGGAGCTGTTGTATATTGTATGATATGTTTCTCATCTTTTCCCTGATGGTCTCAATAAGTCGCTTTTTAGAAATAAAGTTGCTAAGAGGGTCTGAACACTGGGACTCTCTCTATATGATTGATTTTGTGCGTGTAAGAGCAGCCGACGCCACTTAACATTGTAATAACACATTGCTTTTACGGTCCCAGACGCTGTATGTTTTGTGTCGCAGGTTTTATTCTCCCAACAACCGGACCTCCTTACCTTTGAGCATCGATTCCACTCCTATAACATCGTAAGACTCATTTTTTAAAACAGATTAATAAAAATCCACACAGCAGAAGCAGACATATTGTCTTTTTTATTCTACACATTCTTCTTCCTTGTCTACATTACCCACAATGCAACTTAACCACAGAAAGTCCAATCAGAAAGTCGTGAGTGCTATGCTATAAGCGGCTAACGTAGCATTGTGCCAGGATCAGAGATCAGATCAGGTGAGCTCACTTCTTTCTATCTCAACCACCCAAGTTTTGTTTAATTTTCAAACTTACAGTCGTGCAGCCCCAACCGATGCTGACTCAAGTGACATCACTTGAGGAAATGTATTTCACACAACTCCCTCTGGAGACACCAAAGGCCTTAAACAACCTGGTCTGTAACTTCAAGACCTGTAAAAAAGACTCTGATCGGCGCAGTTCCCCTTGAAGAAATGTTTGGGTTTTTTTCTGTTTGGTGTGGAAGAACCTGACTGGATGAACTGGATCCAGACTGAGACTGTGATCCAGACTTTACCAGCCGACATCAGTTCAGGACCTGTGACTCACCTGAAGATGGCCAGGCTGAGCGACCACAGGAATAACGGGCGTCGCAGGTTCAGCTTCGGCCTTTCTCTCATGAAGTGCTGCCCGCCGAACACGAGTGCGACATACAGGCCACAGAACATGAACGACTTGTTCCTGCGGAGGACAAACACACCACCATAACACACTCATTAGCACCAACTCAGTACAGCAGAACAGACTTTGTTAGCTGGGGTATTTAGCCTGTCCTCGTTATGTGTATTTTTATAGATTAAATGTCAACTTATCGACGAGTGCACAAACAATGAGGGACTTGAGCTCCGCTTAGAACAGACTAAACTCCCCCGAAGCTCCCTCTGATATTTACCTTTGTTTACTTATGTTCTTAATCTGTGTGTCCTTTAAAATCTTTAACTTTTCTTTTCCTAATATTTAACTAGCTAAGTATTTGCAGTGTTTCACCCAAAATGACCAGATGGCCTCTGAGCTTGTTAACTTTATACCATATTTTTTATTGGTTACACAACATTTGTCCTTTAGACAGAGGGTTTACTAATAATTAACTAATAATTTCTCGTCCAATCCTCACATTTGAGAAGCTAAAGCCACTGAACATTTAACGTTTTTGCTTGGAAAATTAACCAATTATTATTTAGCAGATAGTTTTTCTATTTGTTTCAGCCCAAAGATCTAGCTCATGTATTTGTTTTCTGGGGGAAAAAACAGCACCTGCTATCCCTGAAGAAGCTCCCTGCCGCCACTATGGCCCAGACGTTTGGGGCTGACACCACCATTGGTTTTACAATCTGGTAACACAACACATAACATACATTTGGTTTGTTTGCAACCAAGAAATGTAACTGGGAATGGAAAAGAAGATACTCTCAGGTGGGCGAACTACAGGATGGAAACTCAAACACATCTTTGGCATTTCTTGTAATTCAAAAACAATATTGTGGACACTGCAGCGTGGAGAATATGCAAACTGCAAGAGCTGCAATGTTCAGATCAAAAAGGTAAAATGTGTGACAGACAGCGTTCTAATGAAGCACCGTAGAGCTGCAGAGACGCTCCGGTCCACAAATCAACATGTTTGTTTGGTACAGACCTCAAAAAATGTCACATCATCATGGTTTCAATATGTTTTTTTAAAGGAAATGTCTGTAACACGTATGATATTGTATCATATTCTGCATCCCTACAGGAAAAACACTAAATTTAGCAAAACATTTCCCCAGTTTTCTGCCAGAGCGCTTCACCTCCTGAGGATTTATTGACCCGTATTCATCCCTGAAAGAGGCTATCTCTAGAATCTGTACAATGCATAACTTAAGGATAGACTCACTCCATTCAGTCGAGCTGTTATGGGAGATGGACTTGAGGGGGAGGAGATATCGAGTGAGGTTTGGGGAGAGAGTTTGGAAAAGGTACACAGCTCCTTTAGCTCCTGTGTTCGCCCGGCTCAGTGATACAATGATGTCTCCCTGATTTGTTGTAGGTGCTAACCTGATACACATGCTCTGGCTCTGCCCAGCCTTAACCTAACGCTGTGCAATGGTGTTTAATACTCCGTCTGAAGGTTAACCTCTCAGTGCTCTCGTCGGGGGGTCCTCACCCTCTCTTCAACCACTTCACTGGCGGGAAGACTGATCCTAATAAATCTCCTGAAGCTCCAACACATGCACGTTGGATTAGACATGTGCTTTATTGTCTTTAGCTGGAGAAACTCTCCAAGGAAGGTCCAATGCGTCCTTTAAATCTTGTAAATGTTCAGATATTAAATGAATTATGGAGTGCTAGAGTGTGGCACGGTTTCTACGGCTTTTAAGTGTCTTTTTTATTTAAAATGTACAGCATTAATGTGTAACTGAACATCCTCATTAGTGTGTTTATGTTCTTGTTTAGTTGAGTTGTTGTTGTTGTTTTCTTACTGTGTGTGTTTGTTACTGCTCCGGATCGAGCAGGATCGACGCCTAATGCTTTTTTTATTCTTCTATGGCACGTCATAAAAAGGGAATTGTATTTCTCACTGTTAGAAGTTATAAGTGTTGTATATCCCTGCAAAGATCCCAATAAAGAATACAGAAAAAGTTCCCTAAACAGGAAATAATGCTCAAAATTCATCTAAATCTCTGGTTTTACACAAACTTTCAGCAGTTACTGAGTTTATTATTTGGGTTCATTGTGCAGTTTATAATATAATATGAAATAAACATTAAATATGTCTCTAACTCACTGATTCAACCTGTGATCTGTCATCATGCTTGCTTTACACAATAATGACAGTTAAGCAGTGGTGGAGGAAGTCTGACTAATACGAATACGACACTGCTAAAAAAACACTCTGTTACTAAGTCCTGCATTGAAAAGAGTTTGATCAGAAGTTGGTTGGAGACCAAAAACAGACTTTATTTACACATCCAGCAGTTACAGATGTGTAAATAAAGTTCAACACATCCACCTAAAAATGTGATAATGTGTCATCAGAATGATAGAAAATATATATTTGGTGTATTTTCATGCATTTCCAGGAAGAACTGCACAACTAAACCCAACTTTCAACCAACTCTGATGTGTTTTTAGCCTCAAACGCATTTTAAAATGTGACACCAGATTAATGGAGGTAGAGGAGACAGAGACAGAGAGAGAGACAGACAGAGAGAGAGACAGACAGGAGGAGAGACGCTGCCCAGCACCCAGCACAGGGAGACATGTTAGTGTAATATGTCATTATGTGGTATTATCTGTGAGCTAACATCACCCACCAGTTCTCCTGCATCCATTCCAGAGCTCGTCTTTCGTCGAAGCGCCGCTCGAAGTCGTACTCCGTTATCGGGGAGCTGAGCTCACTCTCGTTCATTTTGATCTCTTTTATCACCGTTTCTTCCACTAAAGGGAGACAGAAACAAAAAGGGAGGAATGTGAGCGAGCTGCTGGCAGTCTGGAGTCAGTGTGAACTGCTGCTCGGGTTATATTAGCGGGGTTATCTCCGGTTAGGGTCCGGGGCGGTGCGAGGATGCGGAACCACCAGATGTACTTCCCCACTGTCACTCACTCTCCTTCAGGCGGAGCAAGTTAGCTGCAACAACGGACGTTCCGGTTCGGACCTTCACAATAAAAGAATGAGCGTAAATAAACGGGACAACTATCGTGTGCAAGGGCAATTAAACTCAAAATTACAAGACAAAGAGTACACATGATTAGTTTTGTTCTTACATGATTACTTATTACATTATTATTGCAGTCATGTCCCAACTACAGTGACACAGTGATGTGGTCGTTAGCCGCAGTCCTGGCTTTTATTGTGAAGGTAGAACCATTGGTTTCCGGTTGTTCTCGCTGTCACCGGGCGATTTGACGCAAGCAGAGCACGTTCTCTCTTCCTCGAGCATGCAGTGATGGAGGCGGGTGGGGGCGGGGCTTGATTATGACGTCATATGATCTGGTGGGAGCGTTAACCGTGAGAGTATTGACCCCACAGAGACCCTTATATT